TTGATCATCTCCCATTTACACTCAGGGAGAGCTATAATTTTTCATCTCTCTTCTTAATTTGTAGATACAACTTTAGAATTTTCACTATTTATTTATCTTTTCTTCTTTCTAGCTAGACTTTTTCTTCAAATTTCAAGCTTTCTGGTGTCAAATTAAGTATTTGAAGTAATGGAGTTTGAGTGCTTTTTTCTATTGTCATTCATATCAATTCTGATGAAATTGTAAGTGCAACGAAGACTGGTAATGAACTTGTTTTTATTATTATTATTATTATTTGTGATTGGGTTAAGGCTCGGTGTCAATGAGACAGTTCGGTCGGTTATTTTTAAAAAATTATATCCTAATTTTTCGGGTATTTCAAAATGTATAACCAAAATTAGATTTTTTGAAACCATCCCAATCATATCGGTTTCTCTTCGGTATCGGTATGGTTCGGTTAATTTTCTGTACTTTTTTTACTTTTAAAGTATCACCTCAAAATATACTATTATTAAAATATTTATTTCGCAAGTATGTTTTTGAAGAAGCACTTCACTTCTTCATCAAGATGTTAACAATGTAAAATCTTGTTACCATATTATTTGATCTTAAGCATTTGATAGGAGTGCTTGCATAGGTTGTATCATATTGTTTGATAGAGTATATATTATAGTATCTAGGACCTAGGTTATATTTATATTTGAATTTTTTTATGAAATATATTTATATATTAAATTTAACATATTATTAATATATAAAATATATTTAGAAACATGTAAAGTTTAATCGGTTCGGTTTGAGAATTTTCCATTTTTTTTATAAATTAAAAAAAATCATTTCAATTGTTTGGAACGGTTATACACTTAAATAAAAGTCCATAATTTTATTGAAAAAAATGATTTAAATTGGTTCGCTTAGGTTCGATTCGGTCAATTTTTCATATTCTTTTGACACCCATGGGTTCTTGAGTATGGTTTAGAACCTTGGAAGATGGAGAGGAACAAAATACTTATTGTTTAATAAAGTGTATATATATATATATATATATAAAAAGTTATTGTGCTCATTAAATTAAGGGAAAAGAGTCCGATATACCCCTCAACTTTGTCATTTAGAGTTGATATACATCTCGTTATGAAAGTAGTTCATATATACCCTTACCGTTATACAAATGACTCACATATACCCCTACCGTTACAAAAGAAGCTCACATATACCCTTCATCAAATAGAAGTGAAAAAATTAGTTTTAAATTTATTTATTTTTACTTTAAATTTTAAAAAAAAATTGTATAGGGGTATATATGATTCTTCTAGCAAAGTTCAAGGTATATTTTAATCTTTTTCATACATAAATTTAAAACTTATTTTTTGTGTGGCTATATTGTAATTTAATTTTTTATTTATAAAAAAATAAATTAGGGCATCTATAATAAATTTTACAAGAAAATTAGTGAAACATAAATAAATTTGACCATCAAAATAATGAATTTAAATTAGTCATTGAAAAAAAAAGTAAAAAAAAATATGTGAGGAGGATCAAATATACCCCCATATGGATTATATTTTTTTCAAGAAAATAATTTTAAAAATAAATTAAAATTAATTTTTTCACTTTCCTTAGAGGAAAATGATATATGTGAGTCATTTATGTAATAGTAGAGGTATATATGTGTCACTTTGATAACGAGGATATATCAACTCTAAATAACAAAATTGAGGGGTATATCAAACCTGGGACAATGAATTAAGGGTTATAGAAAAGTTTCAAAATTAAGGATTGGTGACTCAAGTTTTAATTATTGAGTAGGGGTGATAATTTTTAAATTAAAAATTAAGGGGTTGAATTTTTCATCCCTAAGTTTTTATTTTACACTTTAGTCCATCTTATATAAAATTCTAAATAATAAGAAATTGAGGGGTAAAAAGGGTACCAACGGCTCACTTTTTTTTCCTTTTTCTCTCTTGCTTATTCTTCCATTGTTGGGGACCATTGTTGCTGCTCTTCTTCTTGATTCTTCTTCTCCATCATCATTCTTTCTTCTTGTTCATCACCATCTTCTTCTGGTTGTTCATCATTCTTTTCTTCTTCAGTTGATATTCACATAGTACTGCTGCTTTTAGACCAATTTTCATTCATATATCATTGAGCTAATTCATAGGTGATTTTGGTAAGTAAACTAATGATTTTTACTCTAATATTTCATTTTGGTAATTTGACTGTTTCTTAAAAAATTTACAGCCGCGTACCCAACAGGTAAGTCATCTGTTGCAACAGATAAATTACATGTTGGATACATATTACAATACCATGTCAAGCTAGGACTGAACCAGAAGTTTGTCCCAACAGATGAGTCATTTATTGCAATCGATGAGTCATCTGTTGCAACAGATGGATTATCTATTGGATACATATTATAGTATCAAGCCAAGCTGGAAAAGAACCAGAAGTTTGTCACAACAGATAAGTCATTTATTGCAACATATGAGTCATCTGCTGCACTAGACGACTCATATGTTGCAACAAATGGCTTACCCGTTGGATACATGTTACAATACCAAGCCAAACTAGGACAAAACAAGAAATTTGTCCAAACAGGTAAGTCATATATCGCAACAGATCAATTACCTATTGCAACAGATGACTCATCTGTTACAACAATAGACTTACATGTGAATCATCTGCTGCAGCTGATGATCTACTTGTTGTAATAGATGATTGACTTGTTGGGACAATTATTGTGCATATGATTTTTAATTGTATATAGCCACTCAACTTTCCTGTACAATCATTATTAAATATTTTTAATAAATTCATTTAGGTACCATTAATGGAAGAATCAATAACAATATCTATTGATTGTTATGGTGAATAGATTGAGAAGAACAATCGATTTATTTGGCGTTGGAAGGATAGTGACATGTCAGAGTCAATATTGATGACCGTCCAAAGTGATATTTTGTATAATGATTTTGTGAACTCAATCATTAGCTATTGTGGACTAAATTGGACACAAGAGAACAACATGCCCGATTCGAAATGCTCCATAATTATAGTAATAGTGAAATAACTGTTTTGTACTTAGTTATGAATCTTATAATTTTAACTCATTTTGGTTAAATTGTATATGTTCATATTTATTATATAAAATATATTAGTTATGCTCATCTATTGCAACAAAACTTTGTATATTTTGCATTAGATGCATTATCTATTGCATTATTTGTTGCAATAGATAACCCATCTGTTGAAAATACTCAAATAAATATGATCATCTGTTGCAACAATTATAGAAATTTGTTACAACAAATGTCTAATATGTATTACCTGTTGCAATAAATGACTCATCCATTGGAAATAATCAAGCATATATGCTCACATGTTGCAATGGATGCTTCATCTGTTGCAACATATGAACATATATGTTTGATCATTTTCGATCGACTCTACATATATTTGAGATGAAATGTTTTATTAGCCCATAATTAGTGATAAATAAACTTATTTAATTATAATTATCTTTCAATTAATAAGTTCAATTACATTTTC